TTGCGCTGCTCCGCCCCGCCAGCGCCGCCCTGCGCCGCCCGCCGCGCACCCCCCCCCCCGCTCCGCCTCCAGCACCCCCCCCCCCCTCGCACCGCCCTTCCGAGCAAACGCCGCCGCCGCGCGCGCCGCGCGCAGGTGCTCGCGAGCACGCGTGCACCCACCGCCCCGCACCGCCCCGCCCTCGCGTGGCATTCTGGCGCGAGAAGGGTGGCTTGCCCTTCGGCGCTGCTTTGAGCGGCCCAGAGGCCGCTGCACGCTCGCGCCTGAATTGCGAGCGTAGCGGGCGCGCTTGGGGCGCTCGAGCCATAGAGGGCGCCCAACTCTTATCGGGTTGGCGCCGCGGGTCACGCGCGTTGCTGCGCAGGCGCTAAAACGCGCGCGCCGCCCGCGCGCGCCCGAAGCGCCCGCGCGCGCCCGAGGCGTAGCCCGCCCGTCTGCGAGTGGCGGCCCCCGCGGCAGCGTCGCCCATGGGGGCCGTCGCGCAAAGCGCGCCGTCCACGTGCATATGGGGGGCGACCGCCGTGACCAGGATGTCAGCATTTTCCAATGGCGCGCCGCCGCGAAGCGCCGCCCGGCCGCCCGCCCGCCTGCTACTCGGCGTCGGCGGTTCGCTTTGAGAGGGCACCGCCGCGCATTCTGCGCGGGGGACATCGGCCCCCCCGCGCCCTCCCACGCCCGCGCCCACCCATGGGCACAGCCCAAAGGGCACGGCGATGCAGTACCAGAGGGTCCAGCGCGGTTCGAAGATGCGAACCCGCATCAGCCAGCCCGCGAGCGCCGCCAGCATTTCTCTGCGGCGTGGCGCGACCGAACAACGTTCGCTTAGGCAGCAGCGAAAAGGACTGCAGCCCGCACTTCTACGATGAGGGGCGCCGCAGAATGAAATGCTGCAGCGGCGCGGCCGAGAGGGCTTGCCCGCGCGACCCCCAGGGGCACATCCGAACAATGGGCGCGCGCGCACGCGTGCCGCGCAGCAAAGTGTGCACCGTCGCCGAGGAGCGGCCCCGAGGGTAGATGCCTTCTGTGGGGCACAGCACAGAGAGCGCAGCACAGGCGTGTTCGACGCGCGGCCCGAACACCACGTGGGTGCCTGATAGTACAGCCAAGGGGGTATTCATCGAACTTGCTGCAGGGGCGAGCCCACCAACCGCCCCCAACGAAGTGCCCCCCTGAGGTGTCCGCCCACCTGCGCTTCACCCGAGCCGCGCACTCCACGCATACTTCTGCGGCGCAGGACGCGCCGCCCTAATGCCGCGGCTGGGCGTCGCGAGATGAGAATGCAACGTGCTGCGCGCTTTAGGTAGAGTGCTGACCGCGCGCATGTCCCATGAGCTGGTGCAATGCTTTCTGCCCCACCTAAGGCCACCCGCCCAACGGGTGCCGCCGCGTTGCCCCTGAGAGGCAGGCGGCCCCGCGCCGAGGGGTTCACGCGTTGGGGCGCAGATGCAGCATTGCCCCCTCCCGTGGCCGACGCAGCGAGGCCCGCGCGCGCCCCTCCCCCCCGCGCAACGGGCCCCACATGTTGGGTTCCACGCGCGCGGGGCCGCTCCACGTGCTTATGCGTTCCGCGCGCAGAGGGCCGCGCGCTCACATGTTTGGCCTTCGGTTTGGCTCCACGCGCAGAGGGCGACGCGCTAAGCGTTACAGGCGAAGAGCGCCACGCGCATGGCTCCACGCGCCACGCGCATGGCTCCACGCGCCAGGTTCCGCGCGCCGGCTCCCCCGCGCGCGCGTCGGTGGCGCCGCGCACATCGGACATCACTATTTACTAGTACTGCGCCATGAGGAGGAGTGGATGGAGGAGGAGGCGAAGGAGGGGGATGAACATTTGGGATTAGCAAGACACGGAGGATAATGATTGAAGGTTGCCCCAGGGTTTAGCACCCAAGGGAATGACAGCCCAAAGCCTGTCGCCGTATGCCCTAAGTCTCAGGTTGAGTTGGGTGCGATATGATCGCTGCGCGTGCACCAGGCCCGTGTTTTCAGATATTGCCACCCCCGCGGGAAGCCGCCCAAACATTAGAACCGAATGTCAGCGAAATCTGGTGTGCTTGACGCACGCATTAATATCATATCTGAAAGCTAAAACATCATTATCGCTACCATCAAACGAGGCGCCCGTCACATCACTACTTTGGGAACTGCGTGGGACCAGCGTCTCTGGCTAACCGGGGCCATCTGCGTCTGCGTGGGCGTTCAGTGCGGTTTGCTTGCGCCTGAATGATAGACTATGTCTGGGAGCGGGTTCCAGTGCCCGATGTCCGTACTCAGTTTTGGTTCAAGTCGGCAGATCTGCACACCGCATCAGTTTCGTGTTGCGTAATTACCCAACGGATATGGCTAGCGACTTTCCAGACACCCAGCCAGAGGGTACACGTGACCTGTTCGGCAACAACGGCTGCGAACCCTGAAGGAGAGGGGCCTCACGTTCGTCACTCCCCCGATGGTCACGGTCACGGGTTCGAGCTACCAGAGATCCTCGTCGAAGACAGTATGCCTGCGTTTGGAGCTCGTGTCGACGGCGAGCCCCCCGCAGGGGCAGAGTCCGGTGGACCTACCCCCGTCTCGGAGTGCGTTCGTCTCGGGGGCGATTCTGTGCGCCCCCAGCCTGGGCGCGACGCAGCCGCTGACCCGTCGGCGACCTCGCGGACGCGCTCTCTTGGAGATGGGGGCGGCATCGGGGCCCAGAGCTCAGGGAAGAGAAGGAGGACCGCGGGGCGCACCTACAGCACACTCACCGCCGTTCCCACGTATGCGCGTGCTGTCTTCGAGGCAATGGATGGCGACGGCTCGGCGCCCCATCCTTCGGAGGCAGTGCGCCCCCAGCAGGTCTACAAGATTCGCTACACTATCGAGGAGAGCTGGGATTCTGACGACCATGGAGCCCCGATCGATCCGATTCAGTAGGTAGAGCACGGCAGAGTCGAGTTCGGCATTGCAGAGTGCACCGCGCAGGGCCAAGTCTGGCATTGTAGTAGGGTTGCGTACACTGCTGATGAGGGGTGGGTAGCATGCCGATGCGCACTGTCTACACCAGCATGCATGTTTCTCAATTGCTGCAGTGCGACGTGGGGTCCAGGGTACCGCAGCGCACAGTGCACTAGCGATGGTGGGCGCTCGCGTAGAGCGAAGTAGCGATGGATCGTTCAGTGCGTGATGTTTCCATGCACGCCTTTTCTTACGTTCACAGCACTGGCACATAGTCTGCACATGGTCGTGCATGCTCGGGGTGTGCTCAGAGTTGGGCGTCGTTCCCTGAGGCGTGTCGGAGTAGAAACACTGTTGCGTGGCAGTTGCAGCGTAGCCGAGCCATCCAGAGGACCGAGGATAAGGATGGAAGATGAGGAGGCGGAAGAGAGACAGAGACACAAGAGAGCAAGAGGGGGAGAAAGAGAGATAAAGAGAGGGATAGAGGATAGAGGGAGAGAGTAGGAGAGGGGGGCGATCAATCAAGGCCCTCCTGGACTAGTCCATCAACGCCTCCTCAGCGCATGACCCCTAGCCCCCCCCTGCGTAACGTTGGGCCTCACCCTAGCCATTTCGGGGGCCGCCCCCCACCCCGTATCCCCCCTCTCCCCTCCCCGCTCCTCCTTCCCCCATCCCTATCCCTTCCCACTGCCCTTCCTCCTCATCCCTGCCTTGCCCATCGGCTTCCCCCACCCCGATCTCACCCTCGCGTGCCCAACCCTATCCTCACCCCCATTCGCATCATCCATCCGACATCCCCATCGCCAACCCCTCATGTCCAACCCTGCCACACCCCTCACCCACCCCTCTCCGTAAGTATAACCTCCCTCCGTAACCATCCGCGCGTTGCCCCGCCGCTGTCTTTCGCCTCCCATCCACGCACCCGTGGTTATTAGCCGCTAGTGTCTCGTTCAGTTCGCCCTGTCTTATGGCCGAGCCGCGCGAGCCCGGTTCGGCGACCATCTACACAACGCATGCGCACCGTCAATACGGACCTCTGGGCAGGCAGTTCCAGTGACATTCAGCCACGAGCAGCCCCCGCCTCCTTTGCATTGTAACCCATCGTGGGAACGAGCCTCTTCTTAAACAAACAAACCACGGTGCACGCACAGCCCCCCCCCCCCTCTCCACCCTTCCATGTGCACCTCCTCCAGAAGTGCCTTGGGCGGGGAGCAAGTGAGGCCGCCACCTCATTGTGGCGCATTCCCTCTTAGCTCTCTTCGACCGATGGGGGGGCTGGTGGCGCTTGGGATCAAGGGGGCGAGGAGGGGGGAGAGGAAGAGGAGGAGGCATCTATGAAGGGTGAGGAGGAGGAGGATGAGGAGGAGGAAATACGAGGAGGAGGAGGAGGAACAAGAGGGTGAGGAGGAAGACGCTGCTCCTCCTTCATTCCGCCTGCATTGCTCTTGCGCGCGTTCCAGTGGCATGCGGTCGCCGTGCCCGTCGAAGCCCCTCTTGGATCTCTCTGGGCCCCCTTCGCAGTCGGGCCCCCATCTCGGGGACCTGTGGGCTCCCTCGGGATCCCTATGGGTCCCTCTGGGACTCCCCTCTTGAGGACCTCTCGGGCTCTTCGGGCTTTTGAGGCATTGCCCCGAGGTGGGCAACGAAAAGCTCAAAAGGTTCCCCCAAACAGCGCCAGCGGCACCTACCGTCAACGACATGCGTGGATTACCAGTATGCCCCCCCTCCCCCTTTCGGGGTTTCCAGGGCGGCGCTTAAACGCCCCAGGCTGCCGCGAGAAGGCGGGCCAGTTTAGGTCGACACCAGGCCTCCCAAATATGCTCGCAGTCGGGATGTGCCTCGCCGAGTCATCACACAGGTTTGTACTTGTTTTGGACATTACCCCTCGTCCCCCCCCTTCCCCCGTCCCGCGCGGCCCCCCCCGCCCTTCCCCGCCGCTGCCCCATTCGCCCGTGGCGTAGCCGTTGTGGCTCAACACGTGTGTGCGATTCGAGTTTCTCCAGACGCGGAGTCAGCTCACGGCCTCCACTCGGCCGCGGGGGCCTGGCTGTCTCGGGGCGAGGCGGCCGCGCATGGGGGCTGTCGAGAAGAATGCTCAGAGGGTCTTGAGGAACGCTCTGGCTGGTAATGATGCCCAAGGCGAGCCCCCGTCATCGGCCATGAGCTGTGCTTCCGCTTGCACGGCATTCACGGCAGCACCAAGCACGGCGCCCAGCATTGGAGGAGGGCGTGGGGGCAAGCGCGGCATCAACACCCTGGAAGGTGTCACGGAGCGGCAGCAGAAAACAGCCCGCTTGGCGCGCACAGTCTGCATCGCCGTTGGTTGTCAGAAGAAGTTGAGCACATGCGACAAGCGGGCTGGGCGCTTCATGTGCGAGCCGCATTGGCAGACATACACCATCGGCTACAACTACATGGCGGACGATGAGATAGGCGAGAAGACGGAGAACGATGAAACGTTTCGGAAGGCCTTCGATTCTGCGCACTCCCATCGTGTGACCATGGATGCTACTGTCGCGGAGTTCGGCAACGCTGACATCGATACGCACTTCCGCAACAAGGCCCGCTGCGAGCGGCGCGTTGGGTTCTGGTCGAGGAGTGACTTGCATGGGCTGACCGGCTGCATGCCCGAGCAGCTGGGCGCGAAGTGCCAGAAGCTGTGGGGCGAGCACGACAACCCTCTCCAGGGGGTCTTGGTTGATGAGTTCGAGGACGCACCGCGCACCTTCGTGATCTCGTGTGGAAAGTCCGTTCTGAGGTTGGACGCTGAGTCGCAAGGAACAACCTAGTAAGATCCACGATCAGTCCGTGGCGAGCTTAGAGAATGAGTGCTCTCCGAGCGGTGCCCCCTTCCTCTCGATCAAGACCCTCCTCAAGAGAGCCGACGAGAAGCGCGAGCTCATCGGTATCAAGAAGGCCGAGGAGGCGAGAGCGACTGCGGAGAGCGAGGTCGAGGTATCCAAACACCACGCCCCTGCCGATCCGCGCGCCACCCCGTTCCGTGTATGGGGCGGGGGGGGGGGGGGGGGGATGATGCAGGATTGGCATGGGTGCGATTGGGTATCCTCTCCAGGGCCTCGTCCACGTCGAAGAGGGCACCGATGTTGCGGAGTCGGCCATGGGCACATGGCTGCTCCCAGTGACGCCGCGCCACAGCAGGCGCTGCAGAGGTCGCCCGCGCCTTCCCCCCCAGCGAGGAGAGGCAGCGCGGCCAGTGTGGTGTCGAACGGATCCCAGCTTCCTCTCAGCAGCCCAGGCAGCCCGAAGGGCGGTGCTGGCGGTCGCTTGGCCAGCCCTGGATGCGTGCCTGGTGGCGAGGGCATCGTCGACGTCAGGGAGCCCATGCAGTCGGACCCCGTCAAGGCCAAATGGACGCTCCAGCTCCACAAGGTGAGCCACTCGCTCGCCTTGACTGGCAAGAAGAGCCTCGGGAGGCATATGAGGAGGACGTACGCTCAGGAGGCGTACGCTCAGGAGGCGGATACCCTGGGGAGGAGCGAGGGCGACGGCATGCGGGAGCACGCCTCGCTCAATGAGGCCGCCGAGCAGATCGCCACCCAGAATGGCTGGTGCAGCATGGCCAGGACCGATCTCGACGCCCTGCTACAGAAGCTCGTGGATGCTGGCGTCGACTTCCCCACCAAGTTCAAGAATGATTGCATCGCGCGTGCGCTCCAGGATTGGTCGCAGAGCACTGCCAGCCTCGAGGAGAGGGTTACCAGCCTCCTCGACATGGTCCAGGCGTGGCCAAGTACCGCCGACGACGGTGCGTTCGAGCCCCTGCAGCCTCGACTTCGCCACGTCGAGGGTTCGCCGAAGGACCGCATGGCTACGATGGCGGATATCGTGCTCAAGAAAGCGATCTGCCCCCTCATCAAGGACGGCGCCCGCAACGCCAGTGTCACGATGCGCGTGATGACCACCATCATCACGGCCATATGCGCCGCGTCCGACGACGACCAGCTGGACTTCGAGCCGTGCGAGGATGGCGCGGACGAGCTGTGCTCCCTGCTTCGTGGCATCGTCATGGTCACTGAGCCCGACCTCCAGGAGCAGCAGAAGGTTGGCGCCGCAAACATTGATTTCGACAAGCTTCAGGACGTGTCCGCCAGCGTGCCGCCAGGCGAGACCAATGTGATTGCAACGTTGGCGCAGAACGGTCATTATAAGCATCTGCTTGCAGAGTTTGTTCGTTGTCGGCCTCACCTTGACGAGCCCATCCCTCGCTTGATCGATAGCGAGAAGAGGGTGATATCTGTAGATCCGGAGGGCCCGTTCCAGGATAACTGCGACATTTTGCTGAACGCTTGGAAGGTGAAGAGGAGCGCTAAGGGCAAGGTACGCCCATCCCAGTCTAAGAAATTAACTGAGCTTCTCGAGGCTTCTACCTTGTCTGTGATTGGCGCGGTGCTCTCTTCCATCGAGGCTGGCACCTTCCCCGACGAATCCTGCGGCCATCTCAAGGACATCGCGGCGACGTGTAGTGAGGGGAAGCTGGCGATACCAGGAGCCGACGCCATTCAGGCCCACTTGCTCAAAGTCGCCCAGAAGCAGACAGTGGTTGGCCACTTGCACATCTGCTGCAATGCCCATGATTCATTATGTCACGACGCCCCTCTCGAAGCTCGCAAGGCTGCAGCCGTCGCCCTCGTCAGCCATGCGAGGACCTACGCCGACTTCGGCATCGCCGAGAAGAGCGAGGACTTGGAGCTTAAGATTGCTTTGGACGTGACCATGGTCATGGACTGCGTGGGCGCTGGCGAGGACGTTCACATGATAGAGGACGTTTGCAACTACATAATGATCCAATGCCAGCTGTGCGCCCAGTTGTTCGAGTTCGTCAAGGAGCCGACCACCGACCTTGCGAAGGCGAAGGCGTGCCTGGAGGCGCTGAGCGGCCTGCAGTGGGACTTCGCCAGCATCTACACCTACACGGGCCTGGGCGCGGACTTCGACGAGCGCATGGCCGCCGACGCGCGTGGAGTTGCCATGGGCCGCCTCGCGGCGGGGAAGCTGGCGCTGGTGGGGGCGCCAGGGCTTCCTGGATGGATTCGCCCAGTGCCCAACTGCGCAACGCTGCACTTTGCGGGCCTGAGCGGGGCGATGAGGAGGACGAGGGGTGACTGGGGCAATGGGGTCGGGAATGGGGGGGGGAGGGGGGGGGAGGGGGGGTCACTCGATGGATGAGGCATAGGTGATAAACGAAATCGCGATGATATGAAGGCGGTGACGGAGGGGGGGGGGGGGGCGGCGGGAGGGGGCATGATGAAGGATTGCGAAGAATGATCTACCTGGGGGAACTTACAGCGTTTGCAGCGTTGCCTGGCTGGGCGCTGGAGCGCTCCGATCGAGAGAACCTCGAGGCACAGGCTGTAATTGGCAAGGACTTCTTCTATCGCTGGGCGACTGAAGCCGTTCAGCTGGCATCTGCAGTGATGGAGGCCGACTGCGCGGCCAAGGCGGCGAAGTTGCGACCAGTTGTGTTCAAACTCGACCGCGCCGCGATCTACGGCTGTGCCGCCCTCCTGTGGCACGAGGGGTTGGCCGCCGACGCGGCCCTCGAGAACTTGCAGGGCCGCGCGAAGACCACGCTCTTCGCCAACGCGCGGCCTGCCGCTCTGAAAGGCGAGCTGGACGCACTACGGGGGAAGCTGCATACCATCGATGACGCCATGACACTCCACGGTGACGAGAACGCCGACCGCTTGACGATCGTCGGTGACGCGCAAGAGCTGGTCGACCGAATGATGCTCACGCATTGCGAGGCTCTCTGCTTAGTGTTATTCCGCGACTTCGGGGGGTCGCCGCTCAAGCTCAAGCGCAACCTGGAGGCCCAGATGGCGATGCTCCCAGAGAAGCTCCACCAGAAGTTGCCAGCAGCGCCGCTGGCCAACATCAGGGACAAGGTGGGCATCAAGAAGTGACTGCAGGCGTTGCACGCGTGCTGCTGCTGCGGTGTTGCGTGCATGGACCTTATGGTGCAGTACGTTTTGTTTCTAAGTAAGTGCAGCCGTGCGTGGCTGCCCGTGCGCGTGGTGACACGCTTCTCGTGTCAGCGTCTGGCCCGTGCTCGCGCCAGCAACGGCGCCCTCGACTGCGCAGCTGCTAGACACATGGGAGGATTCATCAGGGGTGAGCTGCGCAAGCGCCGCACGGGGGAATGGGCAGACACGGGCGATGCTGGATCCAGCTCCGCACGAACATTCATGGGCGATTCGTTTGAATCACGACTGCAGCTAGGTTTAGCAGGGAACTTAAACAAGGCACCGACGTCGCCAGCACAATAGCATAGTCATCCCCACCCCCTCCCTCGTCCCTCTCCCTGCTTCCGCCGCCGTCCGTTATCTGTCTTATCCCCCTGTCGCTGCCTCCTTCCCTCCATCCGCGCCCCCGCCCCCTCCCTAGCTCGTCCCTTCCTGCGAGTGTCGCAGATGGCTGGGGCTACGGGGGCAAGAGGGATGGGGCGTTGCACGCGTCGCGGGGGCTTTATTAGGGGCGCCAGCAAGGGCGCAGGAGCGGTTGGAGGGCTGGATGGGGGAGGGGGGGCTAGAGGGAGAGAGGTGCGAGCGGGGGCGGCGGTGGGCGGCGCACGGGGGGTAAGAGGAACGATGGGGCGAACGGCGGGGAAGAGAGCCCGCGGGAGGAAGGGCACGGCGGAGGACAGTGGACGGAGGAGGAGCAGAAAGGGGGGCAGAGGAGGAGGAGAGAGGACATGGGCAGAGGGGGACAGCGTGAGGGAGAGAGAGAGAGAGAGAGAGAGAGAGAGAGAGAGAGAGAGAGAGAGAGAGAGAGAGGGTTGGCGCCCGCTGATTCGCCGCGTGGGTCGGCGTCTACTGCGAGGAGGCGGAGCGCGGCCCCGCCCTGCCCGCCCTGCCGCCGCCGCCCCCCCTCCTCCTCCTTCCTCCTCCTCCCCCCCCTCGTCCCCTCCCCCCCCCTCCCCTCGTCTGCGCGCGTGTGTGTTGGGATTCGCGCCGCGGGGCTGCCCGCTGGTACAGTATGGCTCAATGATGCACTGGTTGCCGATTTTTTTCCCCCAGAGCCGTGAAACCATTTCGGCGACCATTCGAGTTGCCATTTTTCAAGCGTGCGTCTGGGGCCACCATTCGGGCGACCATCTGGGCAACCATTTCTTTTTGGGCGACCATTTGGGGGGCCATCCGCGCGACCATTCGTGAACCATTTCTGGGTTTCCGCCAGTCTGCGCAACAAGAGTATCATAAGGCTAGGGTGCGAAGATAGAGCTAGATGGAGGGCCGTGCTCAGCGCCATCGCCGGGGGGCCTCCATGCTCCAGCCCGAAAAGCAGGTCAGACAGGTGTTCACCAGAGCATGCTTATCCCACAGGCTGCTCATCCCCTTTATACATGTTTTACTAAACGCACTTTTACACTGCTAGTGCTCCCCCTCTTGTGCCGCCCCTCTCCCCCTTGTCCTCGTTCTCGGCCTCGTCCTCCTCGGCTTCGCCGCCGCTCAAGTTTCGGCTCGAGGATTTCCAGCGAGATCTACGAGCGTCCAGGATTTGTGGCACCGCAGTGCGAGAGGACAGCCCCTCTCGCTTGCCTGGGCAATCGCCGCGAAGTGGTGGTGGTACGGCGTGGCCGCGCTCGTCGGGCGGAACGCAGGCGACATTGCTGACGAGGGCCGTCCACTGTAGGCGGCAGCCGAAGAGTTCGACCCACCCGAGGAGCTGGACTACGAGCCGGCAGGCGACATTCTTGTTCACGGCAGCCGTGCCTCCGTCCTGATGGCGCCGTGGAGCAGGTGGAACAGGGTCTACTACAAGACGGGCCCCTCGCAGGGCGTGGTGATGCTGTTGGTGTCACGGATCGGGAAGTCCAACAGCGCGACGTGGACGGCGTGCGACCCTGCATTGAGGGTCCAGGTCATCAACGTGCGCGACAAGGAGAGGATCTTTACCAAACCTGTGAAGGACCTGACATGGACAGGGCACCCAGGGCTCAGTGCCGCGAGCAGGGACCGAGTGCTCGCGGCCTCGGAGAGGCTCATATCGAGACGGGAGCTGGAGGCCGAGGACGCGAAGACCGCCATCCCCGCCAAGGGGAAGCAGCAGAAGAAGCGCAAGCCGAGCAAGAAGAGTGACCTGTTCGGTTGGATCCAGGGCGGGGTGGGGAACGCCGTGAGTTTCCTCTGGTTACGGCGGTCGGCTGGGGGCTCCATGGCAGTGTGTTTCCTGGAATGGCGAGTTTGGAAGGTGCTGGGGCTTGGTTCTGTGCTCCAGACCGTCTACGAGTCCGTGCTGGCTGCTGGTGAGGTGGCTGAGGGAGCTCATGAATGGTATGAGAAGGCCGAGGAGATGTACGAGTCGGGGGAGCTCGAGCAGATCGGGATGGCGCTCGGAGTCGGCATCGCGGCACTCTACCTGCGCTACTAGCTGCTCAGCAGTGGGGCAGGCCTGGGCAGAAGGTGGAAGGTGCACGAGAGCGACGGCGAGAGCGAGGCCTCCGACTCAGAGGTCATGGTGGGAACGACGGTGGCGGACTCGGACGATGAGCCCGACTCGCGGCACTTGTTCGCGGAGCTGGCGAGGGGGCAGAACACACTGCAGGCTTCGGTCGCCGCGCTCGCCGACCTCCTGGGCCAGAAGCGCAAGGGTGAAGATGTGCCAGCGTCGGGGGGCCCTCGGAAGCGTCTCAGCTTCGACAGTGACGGTGGCGAGAGTGAGGCCCAGGGGAGGCCCTCCGACGCGCAGGTGGACGACGTCTTACGGAAGCTTCAGGAGCACGAGGAGACGGTGAAGGTGGACTCAGCGGCGGGTACGGAGGGATCTCCAGGTCCGACTACGCCGACGTCGGGGTCTCCTACGAGTTGGGAGAAGGTGTCTTCGCCAGGCGCGTCCAGTGTCGGAGAGGCCGTGGCGCAGCTGGAGATCGAGGCGCGTGACCCCAAGGACGGGCTGTTGGCTACGTTGAAGTCCTACCGCGATGTGGGAGGCGCTCGAGTCGGAGGGGTTCGTGCGAGGGTGGCCCCGACCGTCCTGGCCCGCTTCTACAAGAGCGGGAGAGGGGCGAGGGCCGAGCTGGAGGACTGGTTGCGCTCCAAGGAGCTCACGAAGTGTTCCATAGCCTCGGAGATCTTCATGTTGGCGGCCGCCTTGGACAAGATGATGATGTGCGGGGAGTTTGACACTTTGATCAACTCACGGGCGGCCGAGCTGACGTGCCTGCGTATCTACTCGATCTTCAAGGCCTACGAGAACGTGGAGGTGGAGTCGGACTGGAGGCGCCCCAAGTCGGCCAACGGTTCGAAGTGGAAGAGCAAAGTCAATTGGGGCTACGCGGAGGAGTATCTTGATCTGGCCAAGTCGAATACGCCCGACGCAATGGCTGCTGACGAGGAGGTTGCAGAACGTTTGAAGAAGAAGGCCGCCATCAACAAGCACCTCTCGCTCGTTGGAGGTGCGTCGGGCCACTCGCACGCGGACGAATAGGTTGCGGCAGGGAGGTTAGCGGCGCCTCCTTGCCAAGCCGACGCCAAGGGCGTAAGTCCGCGTAGCTTCCTCTCCCGTGGGTTCAGTGAAGGTTGGTCGACTACGAGTGGGAAGGACTTCGTTGGTAGGCGCTCGGGCTTGGTGTTATTCAGCATCCTCTCTCTGGCCCTGCGATGGCACCTGTACTTCAGGGAGGGGACGTACAGGCAGCCGAGTATCTCTCATCGGGAACATGGTGTCCAGGTGTCCTCTGCTTCCTGGAGCGGGAGAGGATGGGCGTCAGCGGGATCCTCTTCGCGACCTTCCCTTCCCACCGTTTGGGGCGGTGGGGTCCCTGGGCACGATGCTGTCCGAGGGCGAGCTGAGGGTGACGCGGAGGAGGCTTTCACGAGCTATCGCGTCGATTCGGTGCTTGGCTTGTGGACATGCCCGTGTGGTGGGGGAGTTGCGTTTACGCCCTTGCAAGAGGACGTGGGCGTCGGCTACGCTACTGCAGAGGACGCTGATCAACGGGCTCTGGGAGCTGCTGGCGGTGCGCGCCAGCTGGGGAGGCATCAACGATGGCAGGGCGGTTCTCAGCCGTCTTGGGAAGGGGCAGGTGATGGGCTACGGCAGGTCGGAGAGGACGACGGCGAGGACAGGCGTTATGAAGAAGGGGGACATGTGCGACCTGATAGCGGAGCAGGTCTCGGTGCCGAAGGTCGGGGCGACGGGCCTCGACGTGGTGCGCCTTTCGCCAACGGCGCGGCCCTACCTGGAGAACGTGGACGGGGCTCATGCTGAGGGACGACGACGAGGTGGACTGGGTGAAGTACCAGCAGACGAAGAGCTACAGCGACCCTGGGTGGAGGATCAGGTCGAATCGGCTGGCCCTGACGCTCAGGATGTGGGAGGCTGGTATGTTGAGTTTCGTCGACGAGGTGAAGGGGCACGTGGGGGTCTTTACGGTGGTGAAGTCCTTGGAGGAGGGCAGCATGACGGACATCAAGTCCTCCAGGCTGGTGTGGGACTGTCGGCGCCTGAATCTGAGGTTCAGGAGACCACCGTGGACGGGACTGGGATCACCGAGTGCTCGGAGTTCTCTGGATCTGTTGCCCGAGGTGCTGGGGGAAAGGGAGTTGTTCTCCTTTGCGGGGGACATCCCAGACTGGTTCTACCGCTTAAGGTGGACGAGGTCGCTAGCTCAGTATTGTGTGCTGGAAGACGTGTCACCGAGCGAGCTGTGGGAGCATGCGAAGGGACAGGGGAAGGACATACCACGGCCAGGCGAAGGAGATCGGGGAGTGGGGGCCATCGCCCCCGTGATGGGGCATTCGTGGGCCGTCTTCCTGGCTCATTCGTGCCTCACCGACTCGATCAAGGAGGTGAAAGGGTACGACCTGGGGGGGCTGGCCTATGGGAGGCCGACCGCATCCTTCGAGACGTGTCAGCTGATTCTGATGTTGTACATCGACGACTACATCGGCTTCAGGCTCCT